GGGGCCGCCCGCCGGGGCCCGGCAGCCTGGTCCCGGAAAGAGGGGGAGGGCTGGGGGGCATCGGGTGGGTGGCTCGATCCGTGCCAGGTGCAGGGTCTCCTAGCTGGGTGCTGGCAGGCTTGCACCTGGCACGGGCACCGTAGCCAGCCCGTGCCCCTTTAAGGAGTCCGGGGCCGGGAGGGGGGCAATAGAGTTTCCCTGGTGTTGGCCAGAGTGGCCACCAGGGAAACCTGGGGAGGGCTAGCCTCCCACTAGTTCGAATTAAGGGGCTACACACCCCTTAATTCGAACTAGCTAGTTCGAACTAGGCTTAATCCTCGTAAAATGAGGTTTTCCTAGTTCGAACTAAGCGCTCCGCTAGTTCAAATTAAGTTCGAACTAGCGGAGCGCTAGTGTAGCGCCTATGAAAGTTAGTTCGAACTAACGTCCGTTAGTTCGAACTAACTCTGTAGTGTAGACATACCCAGAGTGTCTAAGAGAAAATATAAAGTTTAATCCTTATGTTACAAAAACTGCAACATCTGGAACTGGGATGTTTTCTTTGGACATTTTGTATAAAACAATAAAATGATTTTGTCATTTCACTGAAATTATTTACCATAAATTCTGAAGCTAGAGAGATAGGATATAGATTTTTGTCTTCTCCAGCAGACACTGAATATAAATAAGCATATTGCATGCATTTGACTGCTATAGTGTTATATTAAAGGTCTTGTTTTACTTTGTGTCAAAGCTTCCCTTCAGACTCAAAATATGGTAGATATGCTACAAACACATACAAAATTAAACAGTCTGCAAGAAAGATTATAAAATGTTATATTGCCTCTAACTCTAGTTTAGATTTGAAATATGAGCCCATGAAAAGGATGCAATTTCTTGCTTTAGAAGTGAGAAGTCTACAGAATATACAATATGTGAAGACACTATGTCTTGTTTAATAATTCTGGGCCTGATCCCACAGTCCTTACTCAAACAAAATTCCTATTGACTCAGATGGTTGTTGTCTCAATAAGGACTGCAATATCTCTGAAAGCCCATAGAATGTGTTTTACTGCAGTTAATAAAACTGGCTGCATGTCTTCATTTGCAGGAAAAGCATTTCTCATATTTCAATAAGGTTGTTCTGAGGAGGCCAGTTAGGGTAGTGGGTTGGTTTAAATCTTATTCCATCAAATCTAATTGAGGCTTCTACTGGTTTTTTGCTTTACCTTTCAGTGGAACTTAACCACTGCATTCTGCCACTTCTAAAAGAATGGTAAATTGCACATCAGGTTGTACATTAATATAGAAAGGATGAATGTTACTGGGTTGTTATTGATATGAATGTTGTTACTTCTGGATGCTATTGTCTCTGGACAAGGCGATTCTTAAGATTTATGGGATCTTACTCAGTTCTATTAAACTAGTGCCCCTCTGTCCGATGGCAGCCGACGGGGGGCAATTTTTTAGAGATGCGATTTTATAATTTTTACCAACACACTAATGAAATATTTTAAAGCAAATTTTAAACTAAGGCCCTATAGACTAACACAGTAAATTCAGAAGCTGACAGTAAATACCTGAGATTGGCAAATGTCTGCAAATGACTTAATTACCACTTGAATGGCTCTTTCACAGCCTCATTGTTCTGTTTATAGGTCTGGCAGGCCTTTTCACTTTTAGAGTAACTAGATCTCTCCAGAGGAGGCAGAGCCACAGAACTGGGATAGCAAGAGGTGGGTGGATAGACATTAAGACCCAAATTTTCAGGTGCCATACAAAACTGAGTATTCTGCATATGGGTAAGGATGACCCTGTTGGGGGACTCAGCTGTTTCTCTGTCTCATTTGTCAGCTATTCAAAGCTTGTTCTGACTAGAATACAAAATTAGTAAATCTAAGAACATCAGTTCTTAAAGAGCCTTATCATAATAACAACACCCACGCTGATTGTCACATTACCTGTTATATCTTTGCAGAGCTGAAACAGAAAGGGGGCTTTCAAGAAAACACATTATTGAAGGTATGTACCGTCAGTGTGCCTTCTCCATTGCAAGAACCCATCTGGCTTAAGGAACATCTTGAATAAGGAGGGGAAGGGGAGAACAAAGATGAGATTCACTCCATCTTCCATGAAGCCAAAGTATTCAGGCTCAGCGCAGAGGGAGTGTGAGGATGAGGGGAGGTAAAACTCATGTCGCAACCTGGGCCAGTGTGCAGAGTTGCTTCTCCAACCATAGTTGCTTCTCCAACCATATGGAAAAGCAGCCATAGTCCCTCCATACTGATTGTCTTGTGCACTGGGACATTAAGGGGGTTACACAGCTGCTCCCCCTGTGCTGGCCTCCCCCAAATTGATTTTCCATGCTGGTTTCATCTCCTATACTGGGAGATTGGTTTGTGGTATGCTAAGGCTGCTCAGCCCCCCTATTGCAGCTGCTCAGCCAGCCAACCTGGTGGCTTAGGTGAAGAGGAGGGCCCCTTGCTGACCTGAATATGCCTGATCCTACTCTGTATAAAAATCTGTAGGAGTTCAATGGGATCAGCCCCTATATTTGCATTTGTGAAAACTGGCTGTTTTTTAAATTATCCTGTTGTCCCCTCTTGTTGGCTGTTTGCTGACTGGGGGGAAGGGGTTTTGATCATGTTAGAACAATTTCCTTTCATCTGATCAATTCAATGAAATTGTAAATTGGCTGGAAATAGAAAAACTGGATGGGAAGAATCTGTGCTTGTACAGGCCTCTTTACTAAAGGAAGGAGGGAAGTGTAAAGGTGAGAGGGAGAACTTGAGCTGGGCATGATGTGAATGCATAAATCAAAACAAAGAACTACTCTTGGTTTTGTGTATTTGAAAAAGTTGTAAGTGTTTAACTTTAAGGTCTGTGGCCAAGACTCTGGTTGGCCCATGCCAGCGTAGCTCCATTGAAGCTCTGGAGTTCTGCTTATTTACACCAGTTGAAGATCTGATCCATAATCTCCTTTGAAATCTTTCTTTTATCCTCCGTTGTTCTTATCATTTGTTTCATTTCTCATTTGTGTATGCTTTCAATTTCTCCTCTGTATGTGGTATTTCACCTCCTTCTGAATGCCTCTGTTATCTTTGATTAATTTGTGTGTTTTCTTCTTTACCCATTTTTAATAAGCCAGAGGTTTGCTAGAATGAATTTATAACATTTTGGACAGGTATCTTATCTTTGAACATTTTCAGTTTTTTCATTTATGCCATTTTCTTTCACTGCTCTCTCCCAGTTACATTTAACACAAAATGTGTTGTTGTCGTCTCAAAAAAAGTCCTTGCTAAAATTCTAATACTTAAATTCCCCTTATGACACACATATATATATCTACATTTGGCTTGCTGATAAAACATTGCTCAATATAGTATACTTATGGCCTGACACATTAGTTTTGCCTGTGTAACCCTATTTTGGCTCTTTTGTACATATATATTATGATGCAGTCCTTAATTATATGCTGACCTACTATTGTTTCTATAGGGCCCAGTCTCATTCAGACAGATTCTTGGCAGTCTCTGCTGTTGAATCTCTTTATCTCAGCTAAACATCAGACCACACAATTCTCATAGATATAAACCCTTCTCTCACTCTCATCCCAGCTCAGAGCCAAATAAATTCACCAAAGACTATATCCATCTCTAAGCTGTCCCTCCTGCTCTCCCAGTGCATGGGATTGCAGGGCAGGGAAAACAATACTACAGCTAGAAGCAGAGTTGGAATGGCCATTGGCTTTTCCCCCTCTCCGCCTAAAAGTGGGGGGCAGCTCAGCCCTCCTCTTTCAGCCAGTACAGGAGGGCGTCTTACCATTAGCAGCACAACACCAACCTGAGATATTTTGAATCAGAAGGGGCAAGACATCCATGGCGTACATCCTGGGAAACCCAGGCCAGCCTAACGCCAACCTCACCACCTTTTGAGTCTCTCTGGGTGGTGGGTAACCTAAGAAGCTGGAGCCAGCAGCTGATCTATCTGACACAGTTTTTTGTCTGTAACGTACATATAGAACAGAGAAGAAAATCCAGACTCAGTTCTATCTTATGGAGTGTCAGCAATCTCAGCTGCAAATGTGACTGGTGAAATTGAACCTGGAATCTCTGGAGCTTAGTGCATAAGCCTCTACTGCATGAGCTAAAAGCCAGCTGGCAGTCAGCTAAGGCTATAGAGCAGACTATTATTCTCTCTCTAAGTGGCCTCAGTGCCACTAGATGAGACAATGCACCACACCCAGAAGTTGTGTGGGTTATATAAACTTCATATAGGGAGATTGTAGCTTCTTGGAAAGTTTTATGATTTTGTCTAAAATTTGACATATTAAGAATTCTTGAAGCAATATCGGAAGCGCTTTGATTGAAAACCCATGTACAGATCATAAAAAGAAAAGCAATAAGTTAGTAAAAAGAAAGAAAATGGATGAAGACAGTGAATGAATTAATACCCATGGTTCAGTAAGATGCAAAACATGGAGAGAGGAGGGGGTAGCATTGCTCTGAGTCACCTGAGAAAAGGAATATTGGAGGGTAATGTAGAAAAGGAGCTGAAATGGGAAATAGACCGATTGGATTTGGTCTGCTTATGGGACTGGAGCATAAGAGTAGATTAAATGGACCATAGAAGTGAAAAGTTTAAAATCAGCCCCTAAATTTAAATGACCAGAATTATGTGGCCAGGTTCTGGCATTCCTTAGATACGCGCTCATGTCTGTACAGAACTTTGCTCAACGGGCAACCCAGTTTGCTGCTCTGTGCTGCTGAAGTATAAATGCTTAATAATAATATTGGTATGCACAAAATTGGTTTTGGACAAATACTTGGGCAATACACATTTATGGGTGCTGAGGCAGGTTGAACTTTCTGCATATTTGCCTTTTGAGATCATCACGTACCTCTAAGGATCATATTGTGCCAGACAAGCTCAGCCCCGTGTTAAACTCAGTGAGTCTTCTTGTCACCCCTGGTAAGTTTATGGCAAGATAGTACTTCAGAGGTACACTTTTGTTTATAGAGTTTGACATTTGAAATTAAGCAGGGACAACATAGAAGAGTTTGGCTGCTTAACAATACATACCAAAAACTGCTGATCATATTTTAGCACACAACACATAGTGTTCTTGTGCTTTAGAGTAAACAGACAGGTGTATAATATACAATACACATTCCATTCACAGGAGAAGACAAAAGCAAATCAAATAACTAGCAGAGATGGCTAGACTTAAACTCCGCTGAGTAGTTCATGGCCACGGGAGGATAGTACAATGGGAACACTTTCCTTGAATGCTGAGACACTCCCAGTTCAGCTTGGTCCTTCACCTCTGCAAGTGTTTTCAGGGAATGGTGCTATGGCTTGGGCCCCACATTTCTGTATTTCCAAGAGCACAGAGCTGCTATTGTGTTTGGTGCCTTCATGGAAGGCAGGAAGGAAGGCTCTTTTTCCATTACAGCAAGATAGAATTTGCCCCATATCTGTGTTCATAAACCACACAAAGGGATTTCCACCCACCTGCTTCTTGTGGCTATTTGACCCGTTTCTGTCTTCTGGTTTAAAGGAATTTGTATGATATGTTCTTTATACTACTACAAAATTATGTGCTATATGTCAGTCTGCTTATTCTGAAGCTAAACCCCCCATGCACTGTGTGCTGAAATAAAATCTTTCTGATTCCCGCAGAGCAATGTTTGGTGTGCATCATTACACAACCATGCTCTTCGCTACGATACTGTCCTTTTTAAATTTCAATAGCAAACTCCATGTGAAAAAATACCCCTTGAATAGATATTGTTTAACAATAATTGAATTTACAAGCATGATGAAAAATGAAATGCTGTATATTGAGTTATGAATCTTGGAGATGATTAGTCTTGCTGCTCACGTATAAAATAAAACATAATTGTGGCTGGTAGCAATTGCAAAAGATATTGAAATGCATGTCCCATTCTTCTAGGTGTATTGACATTTGATCCAAAACATTGCTAGTGTTAAAAAATAAATCAAGTTTGAAAAAAGTTCAGAACTACAAATATTAATTATGCATAGCTATAATATATTATGCTATAGAGATGGGCTCAAGCCTCAACATCTGGATCTGCAATGCCCCATCACTTGAGTACACTGGTTCTAGGGTTTGTTTTGGCTTCTTATGCACAGCACAAATAACAAATTGTGAGAAAGAAATGTGAAGCAGTAGTTGTGGCAAATAACATGTGAACAGCCTGGAAGCGGGAATATGTTTGTGTGCACTATTCTTCCACTATGCCTGTTTGCAGATAGCTAATGAGCAGGGAAAAAAAAGCCAAATACACTTAATGAACTGTTCACTGCAAACATTTTGCCTTGTTCCAGTTAAGATACTGATCACTTTAGAAGCAAAAGAGAGAGAGAAAGGAAAAGGGCCTCTTACCTTCATGCAGAATTAAAATTAACAAAGAGGAGAGCTCCCAGGAGCACACAGTTCAAATTCTCTTTGAACATTGTAGAGCTGTGCATTCCATGATACATATCTCAGCAATAGATACTGGTAGTTCTATTTTAATTAGAGGTACAATGTGCCTGTGAGGGGTGTCACGAACAGAGGGTTTTATCTATGAAGCATGACAAGAAGACTTCACTGTACAGTTACCTGAGAGATTTCTAAAACATTTTCAAACAAGACAAGGCTGTGATTCATAGCACAGGGGTACAGTTTACTCAGGTAATTACAAAAATGATCATTCACTTGTTATAACTAATTTAAATGAGCTAGATTCACCATTAAAATATAGAATTCTAATTATCTGGAAATGTATATTTTCTCTCTGTTCAGGATCATTATTGTAATCATGTCATTAATAAACACACATGAACTTTTGTTTATAGCTGGCGTTGCTCTGATTTACACCATCTGCAGATTTAGCCCTCTGGAAATAAGCCAGCTGGCATCAACTGAGGTTCTAATCTTCTTTGGGAGGGCAAGGGTCAGGATTAAACAATTTAAAATAAATTTAGCATTACAGTACACTGTTGGGGAGCTCTCAGACATATTACATATTTATCTCACTGCTACGAAAACACCACATAGAACCTTGAATTCCTGTAGCATGATCAAACAGTAGATCTCAATGCACTTACGTGTATATAATGAATTAAGCCTCCCAGCACTGTGGTGAAGTGAGTAAGCATTATCGTTACTAGCATTACTGTTGTGACGATAGACGTACACTCAGGTCACCTGGTTTGGCCGGGGCTCAGGGCAGGGCTCAGTGCCTCCCCAGCAACTGGCTAGCAGGTTTGGTGGCAAGGTTGGGTGGGCAAGCGGGAGACATGAGGGACAGGCGTGGGAGAGGGCAGGGCAGGGAATGGGAAGACCTGGGGGCACCAGCTTGGGGGGCCAATGGAGGGACAGGCAGAGCATGGCAGGGAGGGACTTAGAGCCAGTCCCACCACTCACAGCATCTCCTACTTTGTCCCTGGGCCTGATGTGCTTCTTGGAGAAGTTATCATGTTGCGGCAGCAGCTGCTCAATGTACTGTAAGGTGCTGCCTCCTATGCCCCCACTTGCTGGACAGGCTGCTCTCAGGGTTCAGGAGCAGTGTGGGGCCTTGGCCCATGAGCCGCCCACCCCAGTGAGCACAGGTCTGTATGTTACCACTGTCACTGCCATCTCCCTGCTGGCCCCAAGCCCCTGCCAATGGCAGCCTGAGGAGAGAGTCCCTGGCTGCGCCCAGGCCATCTGCCACTGCTCCCGCTTCCACCACAGCGCAGGGTTCCCCTCAACTCCTCATTTCTCACTCATTCTGGCATTTTCTAGAAACTTCTCAGGTCTTCCAGTGTATTCGCAAATGTTCTCTGAGACAGATGGCATGATGGACACCTCTCCTTTTATAATAGTTTAGATTTATAGTCCCATTTTATAGATGAGGAAATTGAGATGCAGAAAGTGACTTTGGCCTAACATATAATAAATCTGTAGGAGTCAGGAATGGAACCTACCTCTTCTGGTTCCCAGGAGTAAATGGCCATAAGCCCTTGCTCTCCCTCCTTATGTAGCCTGTCTATCTGGGCAACATTATGAGTTAAGTGTGGTGCAGTTTGCTGGGTAACTTTTGCAGTCCTTTATTCTGGAAGGATACATTCTGCCTAACTTGGTAGAGGTGACATTTGAAGGAGTCTGTTTGGAATATTATTTTTTCAGGGTTGTATTAGTCTTGGTAATCATAAATATATAATAGCATGTCATGATTCCTCTCCCTTGGGTTTTCATTTTTGGAAAGCCCCTGGAGTGACAAGGCTTAATTATATGGAACTGTACCAATGCAATGTGCCATGGGGTGACGAAAAAATACTCTCTGTCAGGATTTTGATTAGATTAACTTTGAAACAACATCAGTGCTCTGAACTCTGTCCCTGGAGGCTGCCAATTGACAGGCTCACCAGGATGGTGTCTTTTCCAATCCAAATATGTGTGTAATTTAAAAAAAAATCCTGTGGAGGGCTATGAATTCTACATGAAGCCAAACTTTGATTATTTTTTTTAATGTGGTTGAGCAGACATGAGACCTCATTGTCCACTTCCAGTGTACATTTTAGGATAGTCCAATACTGTGATATGTCGGAACTTTCACCTCTTTTGTGATGTGTTACAAAGACCATTCTGGCTATTTCTGATGCTGTATTTTCTTCTTGCTGCTCCTAGGATTAAAGGCTTCTCTCCAGAGACTGCAGCTGGAGTATGTGGATGTTGTCTTTGCAAATCGACCAGACAATAATACCCCCATGGAAGGTTAGTGAGAGCTTTAATAAAATATTTTAATGTTATTGATTCTGAATGAAAGGCTTAAACCAATCATGGTGAAAAATGAAAATCTATTTACTAAATATTCAGAAGAGGTGGATTAAATATAAAACATCCCACACTTGAGACCTTCGAGTCCTTAAAATTTACACTTACCCTAAATACAATCAGATTTTTTTTAAAGGAAAGTAGTGATGATTTTTGTTATATCTCTGAGGTGGCTTTAATGTTGTTGATGATTTTCCCATGTTTATGCCCTTTTTTATTTTTATCAAATGCATCTGAAATGAATTTGTTTGTGAGGCTTGTACCAAACTTCTTTAAGCCTAAAATGAAATCTACCTGTCCCTTCCTATGATGTAATAAATCTTCTGCCCAGTGGATGTTTTCAGGATGTGCCTGTGATACTAAGTTTAAAATGATTTCTTGAGGTGCCCATTTTTGGGCCAGTTTGTTAATACCTCATTGCCATTGGTGAGAATTAATTCCCATTGACATTAGTGGCACAACTTGAGCCAGTACCTGCTCGCCAGTGGAAATACGGGGTCCAGTACTTGGCCTACAGAGAGGGAATGCTGCATAGTTCAATGCCATAGTTTATTCTTATTTTAAAACAAGATCAGTTAGATTGCATTTTTTCTGGGCAGTGGTCAGCTGAAATTCTTCTATTGTCTTCTGCTCATATAGAATGATAGAACGCTAGAACTGGAAAAGACCTTGAGAAGTCATCAAGTCCAGTCCCCTGCCCTCACAGCAGAACCAAGCACTATCTAGATCATCCCTGGTAGATGTCTCTCTAACTTGCTCTTAAATATCTTCAATTATGGAGATTCCACAAACCTCCCTAGGCAATTTATTCCAATGTTTAACCACCCACACAGGAAGTTTTTCCTAATGTCCAACTTAAACCTCCCTTGCTGCAATTTAATCCCATTACTTCTTGTCCTCTCATCAGAGGCCCAGAAGAACAATTTTTCTCTTGATTTCTTGTAACACCCTTCATAGGTGTGCACAGCACATTTCATTAGGGTGAGCACTCAAAGAATTTTTTTTAAATGTACTCTTTGACCCCCATTAGCTATGCCTCTGGGGGTAATACTTTTGGGGCAATATGGACACATGACCAGAAATAAAAGGTGTCATGTGAAACCCCTCATGACCAGAAATAAAAGGTGTCATGTGAAACCCTCCCCCAAGGCCTTTTTCCACCATCCTCTTACCAATGAGGATTAGTTTGGCCCTCACCAACCCCCCCCCCCATGCAACTATCCTGCAATTCCTTTAACCCAATGTGTGTGACATTAACTTGGGGGGTGGAGAGGCTGGGGGAAGTGTCTCCTCTAAGAGTTTCCTCCCATGAGCACAATACATTTTGTGTTGTGCACCAGTACTGAATTTGTGGCTTGTTTGGATGTGCCACCGTGGCACCCAAGTTATTAATAAATATCTTATAAACCTCTACCTTTTCCCTCTGCTGCCATGTCTCCTCCCCTTGCTCCATCAGCTCCCCTGGTACCTTGTTAAACTGTAATTATAGATAATCATGGCATCATTAAACAAGAATAAGATCAAAAGTAGATTTTATGGTAGAGAATTATAAAATATTAGCTGAAGAGTAAGCTTATGAAATCTATAAAGTATAGAAATTGCTAAAAAAAAAAAACCCAAAACCTTTCACATCACAGAAGCACACCCATGTTACAGTAAACAGAATGTGATTGTACGGTTTCCTATCAACTTTTACATAGCAAGGTACAGTATCCTATTTGGACAAAACCACTTGGAAAAAGACAGTCAAGCTGAGTGTGTTACATTAGCGCAATAGATTTAAGAAGGTAAAACGAAGGGTGGAAAATAAAAAGGAACAGTTGACTTATACAGCTAATTTCAATAATTTTTCATACTACAGCTGCCCCTGATTTTGTGGTTCGTATGGTAGTGTGTACACACAATGCTTTAAAGAAGTTCTTTAGCATATCTCATATCGATTCTCCAGCTTTCTTTTATCATTTCCTAAATGCACAGGATGACACTTCATGCATAATTGTCCTTGGGATACAGTCTTATTTAAAAAAAACTTCTGTAGTGGTAGGCCGCCTTTAAATCCACAGTGAAATATGCTACTGTTCTCTATAACAGTATTCAACTTTGCTTTTGTCTGTCAGTGGCAAAGATAGGGAAAGCAGAATACCAACACCAAATATTATTGGTGAATTTTGCCCTATTCATTTACTAAAAGAAAGGGAAAAATGTCTCCACTTTAAGTAACTACATGAAATTCAGTTTCAATGTAGGAGTTTTGTATAGTGAATCAGTTGATTTTTAATACAGTTTTGGTATACCTATTGTATTGTTAAGTGTGTAATACCGTATTTGCTCAGTTTTATGATATTAGGGATTTTATTTCCATTTTAGAGTAAGTTACTGCTCAACTGAATGTGGATGGCAGAATGTTCCTTTAATCACTTTGGTATTATGACAGGCTAAAAGTTTTAACTAGTGTAGTAGAAGCAAGTATTAAAGTTAGTGTTTTTGTATGTTATATATTCTAATTTCTAATACAATTTTTCCCCTCCTTTCTGCAAGTGTCTGCCTTTCTGCTTCACTCGCAGAATCCCCTGGAACCTGCACCATCTGGTACTCCTGCACTCTCCTGGTGCCCCCTCTTCCCTCACTGCCCTTGCCCCCTTTGCCCTCTTTTTCCCTGATGCCGACCCCTTCACCATCTTCTGCCCCCATTTCCCTCATGCCCCTCTGTGCCCGCACACATGACTTGCTCCATCCCTGCCTTCCTCATGCCCACCCCTTCTTTCAAGCCTTCTCTCAGCACCTCCTCCTCTCCCCTCTAGCCCCCAATGCCCTTCCCTTCTCCCCTTCCAGCATCAGCCTGTCCCCCTCCCACTGCCACCTC